TGCCGGGGGCGCGGGGGGCGCGGGGGGGCTCGGTGCCCCAGCGCCCGAGAAGCGACTTCGCGCGCGCTTTCCTTGCTCTTTTTTTTTTTTAATGATTTGAGAGAATGCGACGGGGGGAGGGGCAGAGGGAAAGAATCTGGAGCCGACAACGCGCCGACCCGACGGGAGCCCCTACAGGTCATGACCTGAGCCGAGACTCGAGACCAAGAGTCGGGCCCAACCAGCCGAGCCACCCGGGCGCCCCCTCCTATCTTTTTAAAATACCTGTTATATCTGTTAGAACCTTCCAGCAGCTACTGCCTGACTTTCCCATAAGCTACTTAAAAAAAAAAAAAAAAGATTGGGGCAGCCGGGGTGGCTCAGGGGTTTATAGCATCTGCCTTCAGCCCAGGGCGGACCCTGGAGACCCGGGATCGAGTCCCCCGTCGGGCTCCCTGCATGGAGCCTGCTTCTCCCTCTGCCTGTGTCTCTGCCTCGCTCTCTGTCTTTCATAAGTGGATGAATAAAATCTTAAAAATAAATAAATTTTTTGAAGATTGCATTTATTTGAGAGAGGCACGAACAGGGGGAGGGGCAGGCTCCCCACTGAGCAGGGAGCCCGGTGTAGGGCTTGATCCCAGGACCCTAGGATCATGACCTGAGTTGCAGGCACAGGCCTAACCGACTGAGCCACCCCTCCCACCCCCCCACCAAGAGCCCACCAGAGCCCCACCATGAGCCCCACCATAAGCTACCTAAGAGTATCTATCCAGTGGGACAACTCCCAGAGACTACATCAGGGTCAGGCCTTTCAGGCCATGCCTATACATCTCTTGCTTGAAAACTCTGAATAGGGACGCCTGGGTGGCTCAGCGGTTAAGCAGCTGCCTTCCTGGCCCAGGAGGTGAAGCTGGAGACGGGGATGGAGTCCCACGTCTGGCTCCCTGCATGGAGCCTACTTCTCCCTCTGCCTGTATCTCTGCCCCTCTCTCTCCCTCTGTCTCTCATGAATAAATAAATAAAATCTTTGAAAAAAAAAAAAAAAAAGAAGGGCAGCCCAGGTGGCTCAGCGGTTTAGCGCCTGCCTTCAGCCGGATCGGGGGGCGTGATCCCGGAGATCCAGGATCGAGTTCCAAGTCGGGCTCCCAGCATGGAGGCTGCTTCTCCCTCTGCCTTGTGTCTCTGACTCTCTCTCTCTCAAGAATAAATAAATAAAACCTTAAAAAAATAGAAAATAAAAAGAAAACTGAATAGTGATTGTTACCCACCAAACTGCCAAGCAACTACCTCTACGGTCCCTGACCAGCTGCCCCAACACCACAAAAGGTCCAGCTGCCACCTCTTAAGACATAAAGACATGCAAACAACCAGTGTTAAAAATACATTTATCATTAAAATATATTACACATATGTGAGAGGGGATGCATCATATACAGTTCGGAGGATTTGCTGATCCAGAAAAACCCACTTGTTTCACCAGAACACCACTTTCCTCAGTACCTTCGTTTTCAAGCCACAGTATTACCCTCTGAGGCTGAGTGGCCAGCTCCAGAGTTGTTGAGCCACCTCTGAGTAGGACAGGGGGGTAGGGTTTGTATATACATATATATATATATATATATATGTCCTTAGAGCACTGGAAGCATCTAGGGTGGCTGTGACCTGTTTATCCAGCAGATTCTGCTTGCATCTTCTTGCTGTCCAGTTCATTCTCCCTTCAAGGCCCCAAAGTTTGTTCAAATATCTGGTCATGGGGAGCTCAGCCCAGGCTACAGGGAAGGCACTGACTATGCCCTGGAGGCAGGCTGAGTAAGCACAGGAAGTATTTATTTAAGCATCTTTAAAATTTTAAAAAATAGATCTGTGTTAAATAACTAAAGTTGAACATTGACTGTCAGTTTTATTATGGTAGATTTCCCCCACGGCTTCTCAACTCAGAGTAGCAGGGATGTGACAGCCACAGTCAGGGGGCGGGGGATGTCTGGGCTCAGGAAACAGGCAGCTGCCACTTTTGCTTCCAAGGGGCCTCACGTCGTCTTATGGTAGTTCTCGATCTTAAACAGGTAGGGCTGGCAATTGGCTGCCTTGAGTAAAACAGGACAGGAGATAGAACGGCTCAGGGTGAGTTGCAGAGGAATAGGTGAATAAATTCTTGAGCCTTCTTCTTCTCTGCCATGTCAAGCTTTTGGTGACCAGCTGGGTTTCGAAGCAGTAAGCTGCCAAATATGCTGGCTGCAAGAAAAACACAGAAGACAAATGATTCAGCAAAAGCAGCACTACTTATTTTTGTGTTGAGTTGGGAGGAGTGCCCCAAAGCATTATTTTCTGCTTGGAAAAAAAAAACAAAAAACAAAAAACATGTGAGGGTAAATTTGGCCCAGGACCGCAGATTTTAGTTCCACTTCAGTGGTCTTGGGACCTTCTTCAAGCACATTTCTCATAATGAGTCTCTCAGTTTGCAGAGATGCTTTCCACGGACGCTTGACTGCTTACCTAGAATATTCTCATCCAAATGATTTTTTGCTGATTTTTTCAGCAGTTCTCGCAAAAACGCCATCAAGTAATTGAAGACATTTTGGTGGAAAGTGGGGAGGGTAGAAATGACCTGAAAGAAGGAGAATCGGGATTTGTCTTTTCATTCATTCAGTCATTTGTCAGACATTTGCTATATTCCAGGAACTGAGTACATGATCCAAGGGCATGAGTAAGACTGTGCACAGGGAACCCTGAACACTCACCCCTTGGCACGAGTGTCAAAAGAGAAGCACAGATCAAGCACTATGTGAATTTAGACGGCAATATTCTAACCATGTGCTCTCAAAAGGTTTATGGGAATAGAAGACACTTTAAGCCAGGTCTTGAATATAAGACAAGACTGGACTTGCCGAAGTAAGGACTAGGGTATTCAGAGCAAAAAGAAAGTATAAAAAAGGCAAGAGAAGGGATCCCTGGGTGGCGCAGCGGTTTGGCGCCTGCCTTTGGCCCAGGGCGCGATCCTGGAGACCCGGGATCGAATCCCATATCGGGCTCCCGGTGCATGGAGCCTGCTTCTCCCTCTGCCTGTGTCTCTGCTTCTCTCTCTCTGTGACTATCATAAAATAAAAATAAAAATAAAATAAAATAAAATAAAAAAAGGCAAGAGAAGGAAAACTGAGATAAGGGGAGAGATTGAGAAGTCAATTTTAGCAGAAGCACCACTGTTTGAACAGGCACTAAGCCTGGAGAGGTCGATCAGGCTAGAATTCAAGTACTCCAGCTCTCTGCATATCATCATTGCCACTTGGGAAGCTTGTACGAGATCTATTCCAAAAGAGATTCCGACTCAGTGGATGGGCGGTGAGGCTCTGGCACCTGTATTATTTGCAAGTTTTCTAGATTATTCTGCTATATATGTGTGAACAACTAGACCAGACGGTTAAAAGTCTTGAATATTTGTTTAAGAAAATCATTAATTGGCAATAGAGAGCCGAGTGTGGCTTTTGACCAACAGTGACCGGACGAGAGCTTTAGAGCACGTGGTATGATGGCAGTATACAAGACAAATGAGCAGAGGGAGAGCCTGAGTGTGGGGCTTGGAACCAGGGTCAGTGGACGAGAGTGGAAGGAAAGTGACAGATCAAGGGAACTGGGCATGCGGGAGGCAAGCAGAGGCCGACTCAGAAATGACTCAGGTTTCTGGGTTCAGTCACTGGAATTAAAGATGAAGCCATTAAAAGAAAAGAGGACATGAGAGGAAGAACAGGTTCGGGAAGGAAGGCTATGGAGTTGCTAGGACACTGTGTTTGAGGGACTGCGCCCACTTTGTTCCCTCAGGCCCCACGAGGCCCGAGGCTGCAACATGTGTAAATTAATGCTCAATGCTTCCCCTCACCTGTTTACTCGCTGTGTAGTTGCCAGAACACTCCAAGCAGTTATGGTAGGTGCTAAAGCAGATGACAGGCTCTGGCAGGCTCTCCAGGAAAAGCAGCAAGGCTTCAGCTACGGAATGATTGCTGGCGGCTTTTGGCCCATCGTTAAGGAACTGGCAATGCCGAGCCATGGTTAGGAAAAGGCCCAGGAGCGAGCACATGCCAGAAGTGCCCTCTGCTCAGAGCCAGGATGCCAGCCTGACATGGTGAAGGGGCCAAGCTGTTTGTCAGCTTAGCTGGGCCCTCCTGAGTTCCTGCTACAGTGGCTGCTTAAAGTTGTAAAGTCTTCTCTATGCAAACTTTAAGTAAGAAAAATATGGTAGCTGAGGACACAAGATCTGATTTTGAGCCTTAAAATATTCTTTCTTTTCTCTCACCTCTTAATCATATTCACATGCATGCACATGCACACATACACACACACACACGTGCACATGCGCACAAACGTCTAAGGATACAGAGGGTTTCAATCATTCCAGTATCCAAACAGTCCCTGATATGCTCAAATTCCGACCTCAGGCCTGGCTGCTGAAACAGATCTTCCTGCAAAAAGAAAGAAAGTCACCAAATAGTTACATTCTCAGAAAATTAGCCATGATTTCCTGACCTAGAAATATGACCACCACCAAGGTGCAAATAGGGAGCAGCGTAGTGAGGCCTTGGAATCAACCTGGTAAACGATGTGATAGATGCAGGGCTGATGCAGCTAACTCACCTGGCAGGCCTTCCCAAGCATGCTCCCACGACAGGTCTTTCAAGTGATAAAACTGATTATAAAGCTACAGGTAGGGCCTACTGCTCATAACAATAAGGTAAACGTATAGCTATGTTTCCTGCAGTGTTATGGAGAGATTAACCAGGAAAAAAGCATGAGAAAAATACATCATTTATAAGACGGAGAAAGTTAAAAAGGCACCACCTTGCTTTGTGAAAACAAGGTTACGGCACTAAAGGTATTTCCTTTGGTCCTAGCCTGCTTTATATTCATTTGTTTTGTTAAATGACTTAACGCCACATAACTGAATAATAATATTCTGTGTATTGCTCGTTACACTCGGGAGGAGCTCCACAGAGAAGGCTGATCATGGCATGGTACCTAAGAACGTGACCTCTGTGCTCACTTTGGTAGCACATACACTAAAGTGAGAACGATACAGAGAAGATTAGCATGGCCCCTGAACAAGAATGTGACTTCTACGGCCAGACTCCCTGGGTTCTAATCCCCATCCTGCCCATTTATCAGCTTTGGGATCGTGACCAAGTTACTTGGCCTTCTGGACCTCGGGTTCTTCTTCATCTGAGGGCTATCGTGAGAACTAACTGAGGCAATGCTGCTAAACACTTAGAATAGTGTTTGATCCACTGTAGTAATACATGTAAGGGGGGGGGGGTTAGTAAAAAGAGACTGTCCTAAGAACGTACGTTGCTCCCAAGTGGTAGAGCTGTGGTGGACTATAGTTTGTATTAGTCTCCCTACATGAATGAGTCAGTGAAACTGACCAATCTGATCTCATGGAGCTTGCCCAAATCACTCTAGAAATCAGGCCTCCTGACTCATGCCCTGGGGGCTCCATCTGGTCTCCGGCCTCAGTCAGGCTTATCAACAAGTTGGCCCCTCCCATTCCCAGAAACTGGCAAGAACTCCTCAAAAGGATAGCCGACTGACATCCTGAGAGAAATCCGGATGTCTTTCTACTTGGGAGGACCCCAGGGGACAGGGGAGGGAACACGCTGTGCCACAAAGGCCATCCTCTGCAAGGCTGCTTCCCTTGCGGGTAATCAAGCGCTGTATGTACCAGCAAGGTCTCATGGGGCTATGAAACTATGAACCTACCCCCCACTCACTCCTTAGGGAAGAGATAGATTTCCATAGATTCCTTGAGGTTAAAGCTTCTTACACCAAAAGTTCTTGAGGCTGATGCTCTTTCCCAAGGCAGCCTGGCTTCAATCAGGTCTGACTGCTTTTAATCACCACCTACCTGCTGGACAGCATTCTGGTACAGGTAATCAACCATCATCCAGAGCTCTTTGGGGATTCCCAAGGGGTTCTCCAACTGGATCCCATCATCTTCAGTCTGTAGTGGCATCAGAGTCTGAAAAGCAATAAAAAGGATAGGAATGCCTGGGTGGCTCAGCCGGTCAAGTGTCTGCCTTCCACTCAGGTCATGGTCTCAGGGTCCTGGGATTGAGCTCTGAGCCTGCTGCTCCCTCTGCTCATGTTCATTCTCTCTCTATGTCAAATAAATAAAATCTTAATTTAAAAAATAAAATTAAAAAATAAAAAGCATAACACGAAGGTCCACTGATGGAACTTCCAACAGGCTAGTTCCAGGAGAATACATGATAATGGGGGCAGCAAACCCATGGAGGAAGAGAAGCATTTCAAACCCCTAAGCAAACATTCCATAGGCAAAAAAATGAAATCAGGTGGCACAATCAAGGCACAAAAGGTGATTTTTGAGAATGAGGAATGGGTTATGGCAAGCAGTTTCAATAAATCAGATGAAATATGCATCATCTTCTTTGAAAAAATATCCTGCCAAGAGCAGAACCAGGGAGGGATGCCAGACTGGCTCAGCGGTTGAGCAACTGCCTTCAGCTCAGGGTATGATCCCAGGGTCCTGGGATCGAGTCCCACATCAGGCTCCCCACAGGGAGCCTGCTTCTCCCTCTGCCTATGTCTCTGATGAATAAATAAATAAAATATTAAAAAAAGAAAAGAACAGAAACAGGGAGACAGTGTGGCCTAGTGGGGTAAGGACAGAGACTTGGGAGTCTTAGGAGTTCAAAAATCTGAATGCAGGCACCAGGTCCACTGTTAACTTACCATGTGACCTGTGACTAATCACATTCCTTACTGGGCCTCTGTTTTCATCTTATGTAATGGAGAGGATAGAAATTGAGTCCCCAAATTAAAAAATGCATTGGAATGGGGAGAAATGCATGTTACGATAAATCTGCTCTAAAGTAGTCCTCTTGTATTCAAATTGTCTCTGTAGGAGTCTTTTACATCTCAGAAAGTTTAGTTCAGGATGACAGATGCCCACGTGATGATTAAAACAAAAAAAAGGAATAAAATCACGGGCCAGGGCAACTTCATATCTTAGTATCCATGGCTGAGTTTCTCTAATATACTATGTATGAAAGACTGAGAATATCTTGTTTCACTGGCTCGGCTGCTACCATTCTAGAAGCTTCCTTGTGGCATGTAACTCACCAGCTCTCTAATTGTTTCCAGGGGCAGGTCCAAGATCGGCTCCCTCATGTAGCACAATGTATGTATGGGAGATCCGAAACAGCTGGGCAGGTAATTCCCAGACACAGACAGAAAGTAATCCTTTCCCCTGTCCAGGTGCAAAACCAGAATGTCTTCAATCTTGTCTTCACCTGAGTTGAGCTTTGTAGCCGTGGTCTTATTTACAAATAGCTCCAATTCAATCTCAATGGCAGAGTCTGAAGAAAAACATTAAAAGTTAACATTGGCTGGTTGGAAGGCCAAGAGGAAAGAGGGAAAGAGGACAGCGGGGATGTGGAGCAGCCACGAAGGGCTGGGGAAGGGCATCAGAGGTGTCAGCCAACCAACACATATGTATGTGCTTAGCACTCAGAGGACACACGAACAAGTTTCTAGTCCATGTGGAGATATGAAAACAACAAACAAAAACATGTGATGAGGCAACTGCAATGAAAATCAGGTACAAAGGAGCACAGCTCAAGTTCCAATTATTAATACAATCAGAAGGCAGGGATCAAAGAGCTTGCCCTGGGCCAGGTCAGATAAAGACGCCTGATCCAGGAGAAAATATAATGCAAGTGTCAGCCTATAAATTGTCCACAAAACAGGCTTCATCCCTCTGCCACACAGCACGACGCAGAGTGCAAAGGAGAAGTTAGGGGAAAGACATGAATGGTACATTCCAGGGCCGGATATAATCTCTGGATTACCACCCCGTTATCTTTCCCTATAAGAGCAGATGCGGGGACCTGATTATAGTGAGGCAGACTGAAAATGGGTCCTTCAAGAGCAGCACCTGCTTCCCAGTGGTCTTCCGTCTTCTCTTTCTGTGAAATTATGGAACATACACATGGCTGAGAAAGCTTTTCAAGCTGAACTCGTACCCTTTCCTGTTATATCTTAGTTGCGGACAGTTCGTCCAGAGGACTTTTAGAAGTTTCAATCAGACAACAAACAGTCAAACAAAAAAGCTTACTTTAGGAAAACAAGCAGTCAGGGTAGAGCATTCCCCAAACCAGCAACCAGGGACCTGGAAACAGAGGCCTCACCTGGCAGGAGGAAGCCTCTGCTGGGGTTGGCATTCAGCCACTTCTTACAGTAAGACGCTTCATCAGGCTTGTTGATGAATTCAAACTGACAGGGTACTTGTCCATTATGGATAGTAAAGGACTGTACTTGCAACTGCATGTACTTCACATTCTGAAAACAGAACTGGGAACAAGCCCAGGACCAGTCAGACCAGTGCCCTCTTCTCGGCAACCCGCTCAGCCACCCCAACTGGGCAATCTTTGCCCTTTCCAGAAAGAAAATCAAGGACCACCTCTTTCAAATCATGATTCTGCTTTACGTTATTTACCAGGGAGGCCACAGCTCCACTAAAGACCAGTGGTCTGTGTTTAACCCAGAAGCCCAAAAACTTACATTGTTACATAAATAAATTTCCTGAAGGATTCAAAGTTCGAACCTTCTGTCTTCTATACACAAAGACCACTTCCAAAATACCCTTTACAAATTCCAGCCCCAAACATGAAGATGGAGCACATTAGGGCATTAAACAATACCCTCACCAGAAATCTCCGTTCTGACTTCTTGGAACTGTCCGTTCTAAGTGCTCCACGCTGTAGCTCTTCCACAAAAAATCTTCAGCCCTAACTAGACTTCCCCCACCTGTGACCCATCCCTTTTCTACACCACCTTCCCTCCCACCAACACCTGTGTACCCACAAAATTCTAACTCAACTTCATCTTGGTCAAAGCAAAACATCCATAGGAAGACAAACCCCTGCGAGAATACATACCAGCTACACTGAAATCAAACAAAGCACTTTTTGGCTCATCTGTGCCATCATTTAAATCATGAATGGCCCACGTGTGGGTAAAACCTATGAGTCATACAGGTTAAAGGCTTCTGATTCAGACGATCAGAAGAACAGAATCCAAACCAGCCTCCTCCTGTCAGCTAACACAGCAGCCTCATTGTAACTAGAGGCGGCTGCCTGTCAAGAAGCCTGGAGTCCAGGGGTCAGACAGGTGGCTCCTGGATTTCTGAGGCCTCGCAGATGAGATCTGAGTTCTACAAATAGAAGAGCCTGTTGCTGATATTCTTAACATGTCCTTCCTACCTCTCGCTTAGAAAGGGACACAGAAGGAATGTTGGCATTTTCCATCTTGTCCAGGGAGCGAACAATCTCTTCCAGAGTCTTCCGGTAACGTTCTTCGTTGACCACCTTCACCTGGGAGGGAAATAGCAGAGCCTGAGTGCCTTCTGCCCATTTCCTCCTTTTCAGGAAAGAGGACATGCACAGCACGGGGCAAGAGCAGCTGATGGCAACACAGAAAGTGAAGACTAGATGGATTTAATTAGTCAACAAAGAACCCAGTTCACAACAGACCCAGAAGGGTCTCCAGAAGCAGAGTTTGTGATGAGGTTAACTGCAGAGAGAAGACGCAGGAGTGGAACCCTGGCTGGCAGGTGTGGCAGGTCGCAGACCTAGGGCAGAATGATGCTCAGTGACGAGGTCTACTTTGCTTGCTGCTGTCAACGGGCCTGCAGCGAGAAACTTCTCTAGGGTTTGATTGAAAGTGGCATTTCTCGAAGTTTTGTAACCTGTGCTCCACTGGCCAAGATTTTTGTCAGGCTTTCCCTTATGTGTTGTGAATTATAAACACAATTTTTGTCACTTTCCAGTAATAAAACTCTAATACACATCAGGCTTTTGTCAAGCTACCCACAGCCTCACAGATTCTGATATGCCTCTACCTGAACCCTCGAGTATAGATAATATAAAGAAGCAGAAGTCACAGGGGAAGAGATAATAAAAAGATGTTCAACTTCGCTAGCAAGCAGAGAAATGTTATCTAAAATAATGCAAGATCTCTTTCTTTTGGCTCACTGGGTTGGCAGAAATTTAAGACTAATAAAATCCAACATCAGCCAGGGTGTGGGAAATAAGCTCATATGGATTTGATAGAAGGAGGAAGAGGA